CCCCAGTAATGTCCTGCATTTCTCCTTCCCTCCCTCCCACCCTTCCAATGCTTAGTAGGCCTAATCTGAGTTCCACGCTTAGGAAATGGCTAGGACAATATCCTGTCTTCAAGGATTTAGGGCAGCACAGTCTTACACCACATCACAGACCGGGCGACTTAGACAGTGGGTGTTCATTTTACATGCTTCAGAGAATGGAGCTCCCAGCTCCACGTGCCAGATTTCATTCAACCAGGAGACCTGCTTCCTGGTTGGCAGACACCCACCTCCTGTTGTATCCTCACCTGGCAAGAGCAGTTCTCGTGTTTCTTCCTCTTCTCATAAGGGCTTTAACTCAGTCATGAGGACCCCATCCTCAGGACCTAATTGAACCCTGCTGGCTTCCCCAAGGCCTCATCTTCAAACACCATCACACTGGGTATTGAAGTTTCGACACGTGATGAGGGAAGAAAGCAAACATTCAGGCAATCAATAGTCAAGTCTTTATTAAGAGTATTCCATTCCGGCCGGCGCCACTAGGCTAATCCTCCGCCTGTGGCGCCGGCACACCAGGTTCTAGTCCCGGTTGGGGCACCAGATTCTGTCCCAGCTGTTCCTCTTCCTGTCCAGCTCTCTGCTGTGGCCCAGGAGTGCAGTGGAGGAGGCCCAAGTGCTTGGGCCCTGCACCCACATGGGAGACCAGGAGAAGCACCTGGCTCCTGGCTACAGATCAGCGCAGCACCAGCCACAATGTGTCGGCCGTGGCAGCCACTTGGGGGTGAACCAACAGAAGGAAGACCTTTCTCTTTGTCTCTCTCTCTCACTGTCTTACTCTGCCTGTCAAAAAAATAAATAAATAAAATAAAAAAAAGAGTGTTCCATTCCTCATTCACTGTTGACAATGTGTATAAGATTACTAATGAAGCACAGATTTTACGGTTATGTCCATTTATGCTTCTGCATAACCTTATACACATAGTCCAAAGGTAATTTCATATGCTATTTTAAATCATTCTGAGCAGGGAACAGTTCCTTGTCATGGAATTTTCCTCTCGTGGTATCAAAGAATTTCAAATGTTGGATTGTATGGTTAGGGATAGCCTATCTGTATTTATTTTCATTATATTCACTTCTGATAAAAATGCATATTTTTATAGTTGAAAAATTAAAAACTTTCTCCAAGTACACCTGTAGGTATTGGCTGAGTAGAAAATCCATGCCAACTCTCACCTGCTAAAGCATGAAGAATCCAGCTACGTTTAATGCAAAAGATAATTGTAGGAGACACTTTTCCACAAATCAGCATCCGTCCAGAATTCTGACTTGAGTCTCTCGAAAGCGCCTGCTCTCACAGTTAGTTGACTGATACGCAGTTTGCTGTATGAATGCCTGTTTCCCTGACTGTGCTGGCTGAGTTGAGCACCTTTGGGCAGGACCAGCCACCATGATTTCCCTCGCCAGTGCCAATAAGGGGCTCCCGATTTTCTTCTCCGTTGCCGACAGGTCTAGGTGCAGCCCTGCAGACTCCCAATCCAAAAACTCCAAGTAGCCCCCGGTAGCACTGACCAAAAAGGGAAGGAAGCCACAGAAGAATTAAAATAAAATTATCTCAAAAAGATGGAAGCAATCTTCAAAGAGTTTGTGGAGAGCACATATTATGAAAAGTCTAGGATGGATTTCAATTGTTTGCACCAAAGTAAACTTTTGATTCTATTTAAATAAACTTTTTGAAGTATCTTCATAGTTCACACAGCATTATTCACAACAGTCAAGGGGCGGAAACTACCCAAGTGTGTGCTGACAGATGAGTGAATAAAAAAGAGATAAGTACATAAAATAGAAAGTTACTTGGCTTTAAAAAGGGAGGAACTTATGATTCAGATTCATACTCTGACGTGGATGAGTCCCAGGTATTATGTTAAATAAAATAAGCCAGTCATAAAAATTAAAATCCTGTAGGATCCCACCTCATGGGGGATCTAGAGTAGACACATTCACAGGCGAAAAAGCAGAATGGTGCTTGCCAGGGAGAGTGGGGGTGAGGAAGTTGTGAGTTATTATTTATTGGGTGCAGCATTTCAGATCTGCAAGGTGCAAATTACCCAGGAGATGGGTGCTGATGGCTGCGGGACAATGGGAATGAACTCAGTGCTGCTGAACTGAACACTTAGCTTTGGGGCTGTTTTATCACTTTTTTTTTATTCAAAAGAAAGAAAAAGGGGTCAAAGTCAGTGATACAGGAAACAAACAATAAGCTCTCCAGTCTACTCAGCCTCCAAATCTGGGTCACATTTCTCTGGTGGGAAAGGGGAGAGGGGAGGGCATCCAGCAGAGGGATCGGGCTGAGCCAAGGTGCAGAAG